GACAAGGACAAAACCACGCTACTTGCACCGTGGGTTAGTTTCGAACCTCCGAGTGGCAGTCAATTTTACGCATGGATTTACCTAAAGCACACTTCAGTGTGCTAGTGATTGTTGCCTAGTTTAATGAAAACAAAAGCAGTATAGGGCAAATGTAATTTTTTTTAAATGCAACGATGGTCAAACTTTATAATCTGGCAGTAACTCCTGGCGACTGCACTGAAGATGCAGTCGTTTTATCTGATGGAATCCGCATAGGCAGGGAGGGCGCATATATCGCTCAACATCCACTTATCTACGCAACATTGGGCATCTATTAATTATTGTACGCCGAAGGTAGTCTTGCTAATCGTCCCCAGTTTAAATAATACTAAGCCCCGTCATAGAAGAACGACTGCTACTACTGCTTTTGTGACATTACGTGTTCCACGGGCCAGGTGCCTCAAGGGCTACTGTGCCGTTGAACGTTTTCAAGAAGCGGATAACGGTTACCGCGACTGCTTTGCTACGGGGGCACACTATAAAAACTCAATTCAAACAATTCTTCTAAACAACTACGCCACTACGTGCTCTACCCAAGCTGTCGCTGGAGCTGAGTAAAAATTGGAAATCTCGAAGAGGCGTGTGGCTTCCTAGCAGTGATACATTTGCGCAGTAGGCGAGTTTACAGTTCTTAGCGTATACTGGCGATACCGCAAAAAAGCAGGTTTCTTAAACACGCCTAACCCAAGTAGCGTTTTGGAAGGTACGCAAAGGCTTTCTACAGCCATACCAGAGAAATGCAACGGCCTATGCTGCTATAAAGTTAATGAAAAAAGCTTACGCTATTCCACGCCTTGATAACCTGATTAACTAGAAAGGTAGTAAAATTAAGCAGGATTTTCATAGTCAGCATACGAACTTGATAAGTCAATACCACTCCACGCTATTAGTGATCGTATTTCTGAGAACTAAGTACGAAAGCAGAATGAACAGGCACTTTCGACCTCTGATAAAGATCTTGATAGAATTTACAGTCTAGAAGGTGCCACGACCGCACAGCATACAACGGTGTCCCAAAGAAATCCCACGGCTCACGCAAATGCGGAGGAAGCGACTTTTCAAGGAGAATAACCTGTCGAAAAAAATCAATAGGATCTAAGTTCTAAAAATCGCAAAAATAACCTTAAGCCAAGAACCAAAATGGATAGCAAAACAGATTGCCAAGTATGCAAATATATTTATGCAGTTAATACACAGGCACCACCAACGGCTTTAATCCGCTCCTCTGCGCGGCGGGAGAAATATCTGGCCTTGACGATGACGGGAACTTTGGGTAAGACGCCCTTTCCAAGGACTTTGAAGTAACCCTAAGTGGCGTTAAGTAATGGGTAAACAAACTACCTTTCGGACGCAATCAATGACTGGAGCCTTGCCGTCAGCCGACTTCTTGTACTTCTCGTACGTGTCAGCAGACACGAGAGACCACAACTTATCCAGATTAACGGTTGGGCAATACTTCGTATTCGGCTTCATGTGGAAGTGTCGCATACCGATCTTGCCAAAGTAGCCTGGATGATATTTGTCGAAGTTAATACGATGGTGGTGCTCGCCACCAGCATTGCCGCGACCACCAGGATGCTTCCTGTGTTTTCCAACACGACCCATGCCGTGGCTGACATGGCCCCTCAACTTCCTGGTCTTCTTTGGCTTTTGCTTCGACTACGAGATCAAACGTAAGAAAAGCAGGCGCACTCACCATTTCACACGCGAATACTAGCCCGAGCGCGCAATACTGCGAAGGTGATTAAAACAAAACTTTCCTCAGACCGATTCATGCTAATGCTCCATGGGTACATTTTCACTAATAACTATCACTATTGGTGGGAATTTGCACAGAACTTTAAGTTACTGTTTATTCTATATATAAGGTAAAAGTGTAAAGAGAATTTGGAGAAATTACATAAGCTAATTCTTCCACTACATGTAGAGTCAAATGACGCAGTATCCAAAAACATAAATCCTTATTTATTTGCGTTTCCTACAGCATAGGAAGCGGCGAAACAGTAGTGAACGGAAATCACGTTTTTTTCTTATTCCTATCCGGATATTTTTGATTGTAGAGCCCAGAGTGTAGGTGCAAGTGCTGAGTTATGAGCGCGGAGGCACAGCTTGCGGGGAACGTAGTTAATATGACAGTAGATGGGAACAGACTAGAACGAATGGGCAACGATATTAAACGTAAAATACTTACCAGAACCACGTAAAACGTTAACAGTTGGCTTCGAAGTGTCAAAGGTTTTCGCACAACTCCCGATTGAAAATAGTGAGCAGAAAGTAAGTAACAAGATCAGAGCAAGATTTGCACTCTCATGCCAACGGAGTATTTAATAATTTAACCAGTACGAATTTAAAAATTTCAAAAGCCGTCATATTGAAAGCACTCGACTGTCTCCATCGATCCAGTCAGGAAACTCCAAACTACCAAGCCTGGGTTAGTAGGACGGGATTCCAGACGGCGCCGAAGATGTGCTTTACAAATAAACCTTATTATTATCATTATTGTTAAAAGTCCTAGAAAAAACAAGATCCTCAGAGTCAACTGAGCTGAAGTAGTCGCCGTGTGAGGATTGCTAAAAAGCGCCTATTCAATCAGTT